GAATTCACTTGGTAGACGAGGCTGGTCTCGAACTCACAGAGATCCGCCTGGCTCTGCCTCCCAAGTGCTGGGATTAAAGGCGTGCACCACCACCGCCCGGCGAACTTTGGACTTTTAAACAGTGTTGAGACTGAAAGACTATGGAGACCTTTGAAATTGGATTGTGTTTTTGCATTATGATATGACTATAAGCTTATGAGGACCAGGGAGTGGAATGTGGTGTTTTGAATAAGAATGGCCCCATAGGTTTATATATTTGAATGCTTGGTCACCAGGAAGTAGCACTATTTGAAAGGATTAGAAGGATTATCAGGATGTACTTCTTAACTACATTTCTAGCACCAGGCCTGCCTGTCTGCTGCCATGCTCCCCACCCTGATGATAATGGACTAAGCGCCTGAAACTGTAAGCTTTCATTTATAAGAATTGCCTTGGTCATGGTGTCTGTTCATTGCAATAGAACAGTGACTAAGATGCAGCCAATAGAGTTTGTGTAGTGTGGGTTTCTTAAAGCAGAGACTGAGAAGTCCGCTAATCACATAGATGTTTCCCTGGCACTGCCTAAGGTCTTCGACCAAGGACTCTGGCTTTATTTTTGTCTTAACAGTGACTTATATTTTCTTTTATAAATTACTATTGGAAAGGTAATTCACACAGAAGAGAGCCAGAGACCTGGCTTCACTTTTATTTTAGGGACCAACTAGTTCCCTTTATGAATCCAAAAAGCTCATTTACTCTCTGGGCCTCATGTAAGTTGAGCACCCTAGATTCTTTTTAAGGTCCTTTTAACTGTAATCATCTCTAATTCCATAAAATGAGAGTTTTCAGGAAAGAAGAAAAATTTTAAAAATACTATATCCTCCAAACTCTTTTTAAAAGTCTTATTTTTAATATTTAACATTTAATATTATGTGTATGCATGTGTGTCTATGTGTAGGTATATGCATTTGAGTATAGGTGCTTGCAGAGGCCACAAGAAGGTGTCAGAGCCTCTGGACCTGGAGTTAGAGGCAATTGTGAGCCAACTGATGTGGGTGCTGGCAACCACACTGGATCCTCTGCAAGAGTAGTACATGCTCTTAACTGCTGGCCATCTCCCCGCCTGAGTTTCCAATATCTTATTTGCTTATGTTACTAATGTATATGGGTGGGATCTCAGACATCTCCCATTACTGATGCAAAAATAGATTTCTTACTATTTTGAAATCAATTCTAATTTAGATATGTGATCTAAATAACTGAGTTTATGATGAAAAGAACTTGATCACAGATATTTCCACATCTGCAACTTTGCAAGTACAAATAACAGTGTGTGTGTGTGTGTGTGTGTGTGTGTCTGTCCCTGTGCGCATGCATGTGCATGCTCTGAATGGGACTAAGACTAGAACAACAGCTAGAGGTTCTTAAATCTCAGACTTTAGCAAGAAAATTAACTCCTAAAGATACATGAGATCTGTTACCAACAAAACACTTTCAGCATCTCAGGTGCTGCACAGTTGGGGCAGGGTGGGGCTGGCAGCTGCACAAACGGATGAGCATTACCACTGCTCCATAACAGAGGTGGACTGCTGTGAGGCCTTTCTGAAACAGCCATGGTGAGGGGGGTGCTGACGGCCACCAGTACTGTTGTTTATCTTGCCAACTTTTGCTTGGCTTCATTGTTGTTTTTGAAACCTCCTGTAAGACTTCATTCCATGTAATCCTGCATGTTTTTCCATAGCCCACTTTTTTTTTTTTTAATCGCTGTACATTCTAGTTGACTACAACACATTTACAGTCTGCAGAGACTTTCTCTCTTTAAGGTTGGTTTTGTTTTGGCTCCCTCCAACCCCATGTTCTGGCTGCAAGACACTAATTTTCCCTGGCCAATATAGGCAGCTATGCACTTACATAGTTAAAGGCACTCACCCATTTTATACCAATTACACGGATTGAGATTACCAGATGTGGAATGGTAGATTAATGTTGATTTAGGTCTGGAAGATAAACGTTAAATAAATATGACCAAATTGATAACTAATAAGAAATAAAGGGAAGTAACACTGAGGCATGTATGAAAGTTCCTGTGGCTACTGCAATCTACACAGCACTTTCAGATTCTCTATTCTTTGGGTTGATAGGAAAAGTGAAAAAAGAAAGAAAAAATACACACATCAATATACCCAATAGGTGTGACCTGTGGAATACACATGCCTGAGTTCACATGAGAAAAATTTCCTTTTCCTTGTCATTTACTAACAGCCACATTCACACAGGCACCATAGCCTTTACTTTGTGTCAGCAAATTTCCTGTCTTATCTCTTGGCATTTACCAGCAACGAAATAGCAGTTCAACAAAATATAAACTGTGCTGCCATTTCATCGACTAGTTTCTTATTTTAAGATACTGAATAGAAAGTAAAAGCTTTTTGGTTATTCAAAAATTCCACGGTAAGTGGTCTAATAGCAAATTATTTTATGACCCACCAAGTATTAATCAGTATTCATGCACCTTTGCCTATATAGAGAGATGTATCGGGAATTCTGAGATCCTGGAACAAACATCCTATCACTCTGGAGTCTTGTAGATGGAAACCCCATCTCTCAGAAGTCTATATAAGCACGCTCACCTGTGAACTGCAGTATACCATCCTACTGCTATGGTGAGGTTGACAACTGTGTCAACTGGAATCAAGTCTGCCACTGCCATGGGAGTAGCTTTTATGGACCGAAGAAATCCTTTCCCCGCCTGCTCAGGAGAGATGGAGCATAGAATATAAATCAGGTATGAAGTCACAGCCAGGACTAGCCACTTTGTATGGGGGTTGGACACTAGGCCCCTTCTTTTGTTGTAAGAATCCATAGGTTTTGTGTGTGTGTGTGTGTGTGTGTGTGTGTGTGTGTGTGTGTGTGTGTGTGTGTATAGCTACATCTTTGTCTACTAAAAATATAATGCAAAGTGGGTGGAATTCGAGTCAGTGTGCTGGTGTGCACTGTAATAAAACTGATTCTAGCCCATGTTGACATGATTTTTATCCCCATCTAAACTGTCATGGGGATGAAAGCAGTTAGGTAACAGAAAGAGGATGATTGGAAAAGTAGAAGTAAGACAATACATGCACACAGGCTTGTGTATTTTAATGTCAAGCATTCCATAGTCTTTGGGATAATTTTTTTTTTTTTGAGACAGGGTCTCATGTAGCACAGGTTGGCCTCTGAGGTTGAGGTTCTGATTCTTCTGCCTGTCTGCGGTCTGGGATTATAGGTGTGAGTTGCCACATACACTCAGTTTATAAAGTGCTGGGGGTCAAAACTCAGGGTTTCAAGTATGCTAGACCAAGCATTCTACCAGCTGAGCTGCATCCCTGGCCCCTGAGGCTAATATTTTTCCTGTAAACCTGATTAACTGCATTAGTTCAAGCCATTAATAAACCAATGAGAAGAAAATACCTCCACCTTGTAACCAAAGGAAAATTTTTTGATATACAGACATCTCCAAAGTAAAACTCTGGTATAGCAACTGAGCATGTCAGTCATGTCTGTCCTGATGATAAAAGCAACTTCCTGCTGCTTTCCTCTTTCCACTGGTAACTCTAGATAAGCTGCTTCCTTTATCACCACACCAAGAGACCACCAGGGTCTCTGTTTGGTTCTCCATTTCAAGGGGTTACTTTCTCATCTTTGTACATACCGCAATAATGAGTCCGCTGGGTCCATTTAAATTATCAACCCAACCCTGGAAAGAAAGATCTCTGTTGGTTACACATTTCAGAAAACTGTTAGTTACCCTTGAACAGCCCAATCTGTTTGTGTGTGGCAGGGTGTATGGGTGTGCATATATATGTGTGTTTGTGTACACACCCATACACCCATTTATAATACTAACCAATTGGTCATAAAGAATGTATGGAAAGAGAAGGAGAAAGGAAGAGAGGGGAGAAGGAAGGAATGAACACATTAAAAGGAGAGGAAGAGGAGAAGGACAATCAGAAAGAAGCTGGTTTTTAAGGCACCTGTATTGAAGCAGAGCAGGAAAAGTGTGGTGCTCACCGGGAAAGGCTCCTGCCAGGTTGCTCCCACTATGGATGGCCTGACAATGGCCACATTCAGGTTCCCACTTTCCTGCTGTACCACCATCTCTCCCAAGGCTTTGGTGTAGGTATAGGTATTGGGTCGGTCCCCGATCAGCTTGGGGGTGATCTCATCAATGATAGAGTCGTCTAACCACCTGAAAGCAGAGGGGAAAAATTCTAGCTACATCTACAGCACAATAGAAACAACAAGAAAACTCAGCCAGTCAAACAAAACTTGTACCTGGCTTGAATCTGGAAGACAACCATCCCAGGGTCACAAGGACAAGTGTGTATGTTCAAATCATTCCTTCTCATATCTTAGTTAAAAATCTGCTCCCCGCCCAGACACTTGATTGTTCCCATGGATATGTAATTCAGTGCATCGCATGGAACCCTGTCTTTACTTCTACAGTCTCATTAGTTTGTCCACTGAACATGTGTATGAGTAATAAGCCCATGTCCAAGAGAAAGCCAGTACTGTGCTCCCCAGCTTTTGGGGGCTCCTCCTCCAATCGGTTTCATTCATTCAGGATACAAGTTGTCTTGTACCAGTCTTAAGCCTGTAGTTTTTAAATTTTAAAATTTCACTGTCTCCATAAAGCAGCTGCATTTGGCAGACATAATCCTAACATGGTCTGAAGATTCGTTTAGAATCCAAGCTAACAAGTGAGCGACTGCTGAGGGCTTTCTAGTGACTCTGGTGTGCACTGAGTCCAGAGCTCCGAGGCAGCACCAACAGCACAGCTGCTGAATAGCTCTACTTAGGGTGACAGAGTATCAGCCTGATTAAAAACCATGCCAGAACCATTGTAATGACCCCGTGTTTATTGATATTTCCCTAAGAGCAGCAGCATTGTCGCTTAAATATCTAATGTTTCTTTTAGTTAGCAGGGCTATTTAGTTAAATGCTGATATAATTTAAAATTTTTAGGCTGCCTGAATATGTTCATGTAATTATTTTTAAAATATTTAAAAATTATATTCATCTTATGTGCATGATTGAAGAGTGTACGTTTGCCACAGAGGACAACCTGTAAGAGTCCGTTCATCTCCTTCTCCATATGTGTCATCAGGCTTGGAGGGGGAGTGCTTTTATCCACTGGGTCAGCTTGCCAGGCATGTTCATGTGATTCTTAAACTAACATGTTTAGTGCATTTATTCTTAGTTTATAGGAGAAAGCATAATCTTCCCATTTTGATTGTAGAAAACATTAACAGTTATCCCTCCACTCCTATGACAAATTGTTAAACCCTGTGTCTGATGCTAAGATCTACTCCGAGTCCTGACTATATTTTAATCACTCTCATTGACAGTGGTGTAGAATATGAAGACTGGCCATAATGGCTCGATTTTCCTTCCTTGGCTTCTGTCAGTACAGAATGTAACCCAGACACACAAATGCCTTTGGGTTTCCCTAGAATTAAAAAAACTCCAAACACACAGAGAAATAGAGGATATTAAATATGAAGACAGAACTGGGGAGATGCCTCCATGTATAAAGTATTTGCTATGCAGGTGTTAAGTAGTAGAGTTTGGATCTTGAGAACCCACATAAGCCATTTTGGTGTCCTAGGTATAATACCAGCACCGGGGAGGCAGAGACAGGCTCCCTGGAACAAGTGTCCAGCTAGACTAACCATATCAGCAAGCTCCAAGTCAGCCAAGAGATTCCACCTTGTTATATACTATGGAAGTGATTGAGAAAGGTAGAAATTTGGCATCAACTTTGAGCCTCCATATGCACCCACATGTATGTACGTACATCTGTGGGCTCACATGTGAACATGCATACATGTACACCATACACACATATACATGTCAAAAAGAATTAAGTGACTACATGGGAATTGGAAGAGTAATAGAAAAGGAAGGGTTCCCTACCCACCTTGACTCCACTTGTTATCCAAGGGGAATTGGTTTGCATATAGCCTATGCATACCCTCATGTGTACTTTAAACCATCTAAATTACCTATAACACTGAGCATCATGTAAATGCAGCCTGTGTTTGTTGTATTGTGTGTGGAGTAGTGACAAAAAGCCTGCACAGGCTCAGTACAGGCACGAGGACTCAGATTGGCAGTTGGAAAGTCACAGACACAGAGGGCAGCTGCACCACTGTCATTGGATCTCATTTGTGGGTGAGCAGTGAATTGACTAACCTAAGACCAGTTTCCTACACCAATACAGATGATAAAAACCAAGTTTAATTTCAACAAGGATGCAGGGAAAAACAAGAGAGCATCAGAACCTAGAAATCACAGGGAGTCAATGCCACACCACAAGGAACAGCTGCTCACTGCAAAGGATTATAGCTGAGGGCTCTACAAAGTGGGGAAAGTTAGCTTGTCTTAGAGAATATTGACTCTGTAGATTCCCAGGGATGTGGGTGTGAGAGCTTGCTGCATATGCAGAAGGCTTGTCCCACTACTCAGTTCCATCTGTGGACCCCTGTGTTCTGTTCTTGCTCCCTCCATTTTCACTCAGGAAAGATGGATCGTTCTCTGTTCATATTCTTGGATTATCATGAGGACAAGCATGGATATATGCACCTATGAGTGAGCCAATGAAACAGAAGTCTCTCTTCCTTCTTTCCCACCTCTCTATCCCTCTCTCATTTTTAGTGCTAGGAATTGAACCCAGGGCTTTGCACATACTCTATTCCCAGGCCAGTGGTGGTAGTATTCTGCATTAATAAAGCAAGCCCCTAGTTGATTTTAAAGTAACTTTTCTTCTACTGTTCCTCTGACCATTTCCTGTTTCATCTAGTCCCTTCCTGGATTCAGAGGGGAGGGCAGCGTGACAAATGCCCATCCACCGCTGCCTGAGGCCCTCTCCTGCGTGCAGTTACCAATTTCTGCTATTCTCTTTCCCATTAGTTCTTCAAAACTGTAAATTAGCATGGAAAAAAGATACTGCATGGATCAATATACATTTCTGACATCAACTAAATGTCCTGCAGTATATTCAAGGACATGTTTTGAACCTGCAAGTCTCCAGCTCCCAAATTTGACTTCACTTTCTTTCCATGAGTCTCCAATTTTAAAATTATACTTAAATTCCTTCAAAAGAAGCATAAAGTCATTGAAGATCTTAGAAGTAGGTGTATGTCTGATACAGTTACACACAGCCCAGGCTCTTCTAACTTACTATCCTTTTTTAATATTATGGTATTAGTAGCTTCTTGTTCACACAGTAGTTGAGTGAAATGAGGAATATGTATCTTCTGGGAGTGAATGGTAGGAGTTCTGTGATGACCTTTTCTCATCTTCCCTAGTCAAGCTATGTTTATTGTAGCCACCATGCTTATGTGTTTGGCATGTGTCTGACTCTCATTATTCATGTGTCTCATCACGTTTCTGTCCTGAAACCCTGCTTCCTTAGTGGATGTTTCATCATGCCCTCAGGAGGGTCGATTTCTACACTCTGTAAGGTTTAGGGAAGCAGGGATGGATAGAGATGCAAGAGAACAGGTGGACTCAGAAGGAAATGGGGTTGTGGGGAGATATGTCAAAGAACGAAAGGGGGGCTTTTATAGAGAAGGAAGCAAAATTGTGAAAACATGGGCCACAGTGGTGGAGTGCTGAGAACAAAAAGGTGGAAGGCAATCACCCTCCATGTGGGGCATTTGTTTCACTGTTAATTTAAACATTTGCCAGGGAAGAAGGAATTTCTAAGCATAATGCTTGTTGTGAGTATCACCCACCCCAATTACTAACTATAAGTTATGGACTTTTCCTGGTGATGTATCCAGATAAGACAGCAGGCTGATCACTTTTATGGGAGGAAAGTTCTTCCTTTTAGCCTTGGAGTATTTAGTGTCTGCATACAGTTTGGAAGGAGGAGGTGGTACGAGGAGCCCTTTACTGTGGTGAGCTGAATGCTATTACCCCTGTATGTGGTGAACCCTCAGAGGTTTCCAACTGCATAGTCCCCTCTCAGACATCAAAATGGAGGCAGTGGATGAGGCCCTGGGTGCTGTGGATATCACTCTGTATAAATAAAATGCTGATTGGCTGGTGGTCAGGCAGGAAGTATAGGCGGGACAAGCAGAGAAGAGAATTCTGGGAAGTGGAAGGCTGAGAGAAGAGACACTGCCAGCTGCTACCATGAGAAGATGTTAAGATACCAGTAAGCCATGAGCCACGTGGCAACTTTTAGATTAATAGAAATAGGTTAATTTAAGATAGAAGAACTAGATAACAAGAAGCCTGCCATGGCCATACAGTTTGGAAATAATATAAGCATCTGTGTGTTTATTTTATAAGTGGGCTGTTGAACTGCCAGGGCTTGGCGGGACCTGGAGAGAAAACTCCAGATACACCTGGGAACTCAGTTCTGGTCTTGAATCAAGCAGGTGGGTCCTTTTCCTGAAAGGGAAGCTTAGTGACAAGCATCAGTTTCATAGTGAACATGCTCTTGGGCTTTCTACAGATGAACTGTTAACTTGGAATGCTCCAGTGCCAGTCCCTCTAAATGACCTCCATTTGAAGATTTTTAAGTGACAGGTAAAAACACCCACTCTCAGAGCAAGTAGAGTCAGAAATGAAGAGAACAAGCTCCCAATTTAGCTAAAGCTTTTAAAAAGGAGTATATTTTAAATGCAATTACAGTATTGCATGAAATTATACACTGGTAGATTCACCATGGAACAGTCATTTTGTGCCATAATTTTTGTTTGTTTGTTTGTTTTTGAGACAGGGTTTCTCTGTGTAGTTTTGGTGTCTGTCCTGGATATCACTCTGTAGAGCAGGCTGGCCTTGAACTCACAGAGATCCTCCTGGCTCTGCCTCCCGAGTGCTGGGATTAAAGGCATGCGCCACCACTGCCCAGCTTGTGCCATTCTTTTTTTTTTTAATGCAGCGTTTAAAACATAAAACTCAAGTGGTTAGAGCTAAATAAGGAGAAAACAGAAACAAAATTCTGCAAATAGAACCATATCCTATGAAGAAAGTGATTTTTTGTTGTTGTTGACTGGTGAAAAGAGAAAACAGACTGGAGACCACTTCAGCAAAGGTAGGGAAGTATACCAGCAGAACCCATTCACAGATTGTTCCCTGCTAGATTTTGGAAGAATTAGATTCTTCGCCAAAAACCATTACTCCCTAGAACCGTAGTAATTGATTTATATAATTTGCTCATCATCACAACTGTCAGGTGAGCTCTGTGGTGGTTAGCCTCTGGGCCTGTATCTGAGGGACTGTGTGGACTGTGTTGATTGAGGTGGGAAGATCCATTCTTAGACAAAGGCACCAGTCCCCATGCTTGGTTCCTGGGCAAAATAAACAGGAGATGCCAAGATGGTTGGGAGGAGTTCTGTTCTTTGGTTCTTGACTGTGGACTCAATGTGTCTAGTTCTCTCCACTACTGCAGCCATAGCTTCTCTGTCATGATGGACCACCCTAGAACTGTAAGCCCAAATGAGCCCTTTCCTCATAGGTTGCTTTTGTTAGGGTATTTTATCACAGCAACAGGAAAAGTAACAAAAAAGGATCAGGGGCCTTGAAGGTCACTGACCTCTATTTGTTAACAGTAGCATGCCAGCTAAACCTTTTCATTTTCAAAATCCTCTTCAAGCTGGTGTAATACATACTTTTCAGGAGTGGCTCTGTGCAACATTTTTTGGCCTTCTGACATTCATTTAGCCCCCTCTGAAGATACCTTAAAATTTATCAGCCTAGCCAGGTATTGATGGCACATGCCTTTAATCCCAGCACTTGGGAGGCAGAGCCAGGCAGATCTCTGTGAGTTCAAGGCCAGCCTGGGCTACCAAGTGAGCTCTAGGAAAAGCGCAAAACTACACAGAGAAACCCTGTCTTGAAAAACCTATATATCAGCTTAAATGTAGCCATTATAAGACCATTAGTTATGCTCCTTGTGAGCTGCCTGTTTTTTCTTTATGGTTCTTAGTTGTTCATTTGTAGAACTTCCTGATTAAGTCGTGCTGGGATCAAGAAAAATGAACCTTGGCAGTTCGTGTTCCTGGAGTTGTATCCATGTCAGTGGATGCCCACACACTCCAGAAGAGAATTTGACATTGCTGCTGCTGTTGTTGCTGTTATAGCAGAGGTGGCCACCACTGCTACTGTTTCTGGGATTACCATTTCATAATTGCTTACTACAGCCAGCACAGTGGAGACCCTGGCAGCAAAAGTAGCTACCACAGTTAATTAATCTTTCATTATATTGGGCATGATAAATTTAATTAAATAGTTCTATACATTTCGATTGGCTTTTAAAATTATAAATTTATTAACTCAAGTTCCATTTGCCTTTGGAATACCATCTTACAAGGACTCCAATTTGCAGTAAGGCTCATTAAGGAAGGGAATGGCTCAGTTGCCTTTAACCTACTGGCTATGGGTGGTTTAGGACCTCTGTTGGTCTTTTCTGTGTCGAACACAGATTGCAAGCCCAGAGCCACTTTGAGCTTTTTGGCAGCAGTTAACTGCAGCTCACACACGATTGAACCGGTATGATAATGAGTATTCAGAGACGGGTAATACCTGGGGGGCACTCACCAACCTAAGACAGAGCACCTGTGTACCTGGGCAGGCGTCTCCATGACGGGTAAGGTGACCTGCTGATGTCCCATGCAACCTAAGTCAGAAGCTCATTTATTAGTAAAAAGGGGACCTGTAGGTCCCTGGCCCCCGTTTTGGGTAACTGTTGCCTTGCTTGCTGACCTTGACCTTGATATTGTCCCTATGCTAATTCCCTCCTGGGTTCCACCCTCCTGAATGCTTAAGGGAAGTTCCTTGTCTATGTATCCTGCATAATGGGCATTAACAGCTTAGATGCAAGATTGTAAAACATCTGTAGTAAACTTCTGCTCTCCAGGGTTTTCCCATTGTGCTGTAAGCCTGTATTTAAGACCTCCTCCCTCCTTCAATAAACGGCATTTGGCATTTAAAAAAAACAAAAACAAAAACAAACCCCAACTAAGACAGAAGGGGAAAAAAAGGATGGGGCGGGGCCAGGGGGTTTAGAAAGGCTAAAACAATTGTTCCAGTTTACACAGCAAGTTATCAGCCATAAGTTGAACTCACATCAGTCCAACTTCAAAATTTCTCTCCTGATCATTTATGTTATTTAGTGATGCTGAGAGGTGAATACATTCATGGTCTAATGTTTCGGCAGCCCTACCCTCAACAAGGTGTTTCTTTAGGGATTTTCAGGGTTGAGGATACAGCTCAGTGGAAGAGTGCTACTTAGCATGCACAAGGCTCTGGCTCCACTTTTGTCTGTCAATTCCTTATTGACACTTATGCATCTTCTATCTTCCTTCCCTCCGGGTGCATATTTCTTACTGGAAGAAGTAACTAGTAATGACAGGTGAAGCATTTTTCCAAAGCACTTTGCTTTCAAAGTGTCCTACCTCATAACTTCATTAAGAATCACAAAGAAACCTAGAGAAAGCCATGTGCTGCCACCCAGTTCCTTCATTTGACCCAACTTACTCCATGGAGTCAATGATCTTCCTTGGCTCCACAGGGCATGGGTAGATGACCTCATCTATGTGGCTCAGATTGCAGTTAGAAAAGGCAGTAGAGATGTGGATGAAGGCTTCAAGCTTTGGCATCTGGCTGGCCATTAGCAGGAGCTGCTGGGTGGCGATGACATTCAGCTGCACAGCTTCTCTGGAGAGGATGAAGCAGAAAGAAGCAGGAAAGTACCACACTGCGAGTGTACCTCCTGCAGTGACTGGTGTGCCACACTGCGAGTGTGCCTCCTGCAGTGACTGGTCGGACACACTGCGAGTGTGCCTCCTGCAGTGACTGGTGTGCCACACTGCGAGTGTGCCTCCTGCAGTGACTGACTGGTGTGCCACACTGTGACTGTACTTATCCTAGTGGCGATGTACCACACTTTAACTGGTGTGTGTGCAATGACTATACTTACTTTAGTAATAGGCAAATGGCTCAGCTATTGGTGGCACATCAGAGACAAGAAAAGAATTGGTCCCTGGATGCACAAATCTATGACACTTGAAATTGTGATGTGCTCCTGGCATGTGGGGTCCTTCGTCCTCATCACTGAAGCACTGTACATACTGTGTCTCGAGGTTACATGATTCTAATCAGTAAAACAGAAAACACAGTCCTCTGAATTATCAAGTGGCCATTGAAAGAACAAAACCAAACAAATGACTCTAACTCAAGAAGGTGAAAAATACGAATAACTTGTGGAGAACTCAGAGTAGATATTTGAAAGAACAATATAAGTTGTTGTTGTAGGGACCCCGGCTAGCCATGAAGATTGATGCCAAATCCTAAATTGTAGCTGCTACTGTAGAAAGCTATATAAACTCAGTATAAGCAGTAAGATGTGTAGTGGGTAGCCATTCCAGCTTGGTTCTGGAAGTTCCAACCCCCATTGAGACTCTGGCAACTGTCACGCCTACGAGGCGGGGCGAGGGGAGGCGCCTGGGGACCCGAGAGCTGGATGGGGCTCTGGGCGCTCTCTCGGTGCCGGAACGCTGACCGGTGCAGATTGACTGTGCAGAGCTCCGGAGAACACCGCTGGACTGCATTACACCTTCCCCAGACCCTGCGACCTACCCATTACTTAATTTGTGAGTTATGCCATTTAATAAATATCCTTTTAACTACGTGGAGTGGCCAAAATAA